TCTTTCTTATTCTGGATAAACCAGAGATCTGGATAAACGGGGGTTCCACTGTATTTGGTTATAATACTGTAAATAAATTATATACAGATATATCTTCCTTATATGGCAGGTTACGTTCCATCCCACTGCTGTAAAGTGAATGCCTTAGAGTGCATTTAGGAGAAAATTTGTACCAGTTGCTTTCTGGAATTTCCAGAAGTCTTCACGACACCTATGCTTGCTTGTCTAAATAGACATAACTGTAATCATATGATTTCTTGAAATACTTTCAGTTTGTTTCAATATTTTGTGATTTAAGCAGTGAGAGTTCAACATGTTTGAAGGCAAATAGATAAGAAAGGTAATTTCAGCTCATGCCAAATAATGATCTAGTGTAATGTTATGATGCAGTGAATTCTGTCTTATGGCATTAAAACTGATGTTTTATTTAAAAATTGCAAATATTTTGATATTTACAACTATCCTCTTAATGCTGATTCAATTAGACTCAAGCTGAACAAGGAAAAAAAACCTCCTTCAATTTGAGTCTAATTGAATCAGCCTGAAGAGGACAGTTATAAACTATCAAAAGTACTTGCAATTTTTGAATAAAACATTGGTTTTAATGTCAAAAGACAGAATATGTTACATTGTAACACTACACTTGACAAATAGATACAGAGTGATGCAAAAATAATTTTAATATCTCTATAAAAGAACCATTATTATGTGCTTTCTTTAAGCTACAGAAATCGAAACAAACAAGAAATGTTAAAATTAATTGCAACAATATTTCACAAAAATTATATAACCTAAGGAGCCATTTTATTCGGGAAGTGAAAAAAAATGAAAATAAAGAAAAGTAGTTTTGGGACTGATGTTTTTATTGCTACCTGGCTGTATTTTTCTGTCGTGTTATACCACAGAGATTCAAATAAACTTTTCAAATTATTGTGGATCTTCAATTTTTAGCTCATTGAGCAAATCATTATATCTTTCCTTATTAATATTCATTTTTACCCAATATGCTTAATTTTTTTTTATTGTAATTGTTACTTAGAACTAACATTGCCACCGCAATGTGAATATGTCTTACTGATGCCATGTCAGTTAATATAATGAAAAAAAGATCAACACTTGACAACACTGTCACAAGTCTAAGTTGCTGAGAGTATACAGTTTTATGAGAACTCTGGGAAAGCAGAACTCTCATGTAACACTTACAACAGATAATTGGAACAATTATTGTTAGAAGTACAAACCCATGTGGAAGTTGCTTGCAAGGTTTGTTGCAAGTAACTTGCTGGTCTATCTGCACCCTTAAAGCAAAACTCCAACCTTTTTTTTTTATGTTGTTACAAAAGGCTAAAACTATATTTACACTTTATTATGTATGCAGTAGTAAGCCTTAAATCACAATTGCATTTTTAAGCCTACTGCTGTTTCAAAAGTAAAAACATAAATAAAATAAATCCTAAAACCTTAAGAATAAGGCAAGTGCCAAAAATACTAAACATGCAGACAGTTGAAAAGAACAGTAAAGCCTATATTGACATTCAAATAGGACATTTTTAATTGAGTTTATAAGAAAAAAAAATAACAACAACAGACATGAAAAAACAACACAGTTTACACTGTCACATCTTATGTACATGGACAACATAAAACTTTATGCATCCACACAAAAACAACTTCATTAACTGCTATAAATCACGCATTCATACTCCAAGGACATACAAGTGGAGTTTGGCCTAGATAAATGCAAAACATTTCACATAGAAAAAGGAGTCCTGAAAAAAGAAGATTTTGCACTTGGAAATGGAGATTTTATTGAATCCATGGAAGAGGGCGAGTTCTACAAGTATTTAGGATTCCAACAAGCCAAACTAACAGAACATACACAAATAAAGCAAAGATTAATTAAAGAATACCAAAGTAGGTTAAATGCTATTCTCAGAACACAGTTAAATGCAAAACACACAGTTAAAGCAATAAACACATATGTCATTCTGGTACAGCTATCCCTTGATAGTCCGACGTTTTGTAATCCAACATGCTAAGTAGTCCGACGCACCTCCCGTCAAGGTACCCGTCCCCGTTACGTGTCTGCTTGCACAGAAGCATGTCGCGACGGGAATCTCCCCACCCACTTCTTACACAATGACACACATTTTGTGTGTTTTCTGTGAGCAGTTCTGTTCGAACAATTGGAGTAGGGAATATTGTAGGCTACTGCTAAAACAATGCCAAATATATAATCACTTTCGGTAGTCCGGACACTTTCGGTAATCTGACACCCCTTTGGTCCCATACCTGTTGGATTATCAAGAGACATATTCTTTTGGAGTCATACATTAGACTTACACTTAGATCTTGAGCAACTCCAAAGGAAAACAAGAACAACATTTACTAAGCATAAAAAATATCATCCAAAATCATTTGTAGAATGACTAACTGTTCCTCCTAAAGAAGGTGGCCATGGCCTGACTAATATAGTAACCTTCACTGCAAACAAATTCTGACACTGCAGGAGTTTTTCTACAAAAAACATCAAGATTACATAAAGCTATAACTCTGGAAGAAAGTAACCACACAGCTTTAAACTTACACTCTGAGCACCTGGACATAGCTGAATGCATAAAAAACATAGTTACCACTTAGCAGTCATGGGCCCAAAAGGCACTTCATAACAGCCATGCCTATGACCTACCTCAGGAATATGTTGACAAAGCTGCGTCAAACTATTGGCTGACTAGGGGCTTCCTGTTTGGAGAGAATGAGGGGTTTAAAGTTGCCATTCAAGATTAGATCATAAACACTAAAAACTACAGAAAACACACATCCTGAAACTTACTCACAAATGACTCTTGCAGAAAATGCCACATTCTGCCAGAAACAATACAACGTATAACTTCTTTTTGCAACTTCTTAGCACAAACAGACTATTTACATAGGTGTAATCAAGTAGCAAATATAGTACACTAAGAGCTTGCATACACACACACATTACTAAAAACTCAGGTACCATACTACAAATATACTTTACAGGTAGTATTCGAAAATGACACACACAAAATATACTATGACAGAGCCATAATCATAGATAAAACAATTCATCACAATAGACCTGACATCATTTTCATTAACAAATGCAGTAAGATTGCCTATATAGCAAACATTTCCATTCTAAACACTTTTAACGTGAAAAATGCACACACTGAAAAAATCAACAAGTACATTCCACTTGCTCAAGAAATAAGACAGATGTGGAGGATGGATAAGGTATTTATTGTACCTGTTGTTTTCTCTTCTACTGGTGTTATACCACATACACTACACAAATAATACACTTAATAAAAACATACATGACAATACAGAAAGCTGCAATATGTGTCACATTGTTAGGAAGTTTCTAGATGTTGACACACATATCAATAACACAGCTTAATGCTACCCTTGTTTGGGTAGCTATGTCTTGACTTTAATCCAGCACAGTATCAGCTGGGCATGATATTCACATAATCACTACCTAGGGTATGTTTGTAAAGTCGAATGAGTTAAACATGTTAGTAACGAATCGGTCAAAAAGTAGTAGTCTCACTCAGTGCGCATACTCTGCAGTGATGACGTTTCAAATGAAACTCTAATGAAGTTTACAAAGGAAAGAGTTAGTTCACTTTGTTAAGAAAATGGCATCCGACGATATCGATGTTTCTAAATCTACTCGAGTGTTTAAACTGTAAATTAAAAGGTGAAATGATAGAAATAACTGTCCATCCAAAGCAATCTAAGAAAAATATTTCAGATAAGACTGCACTAGTAACATTCATATCTTTGATTTTAGAAATAGCCATTTAGTTATAAATGAATTGGTCAAAAGTCTAACGAAATAAGAATAACAATGACATCATTCTTGTTTAACTCGTTTGACTTTACGAACATAGCCCTAGTCAAGTTGAAAGGAGAGCACAGTAGTTCCAAACATCCAATAAACCATAGAGTAGGGCCATTTATGCCAGTAAGATCTATGAGGAAAAATGAAAGAGAGACCACAAGCAGCATCCAACCCAGAATGGGTGGCCGATAAATAGCATCTGTTCCACTTGTCAAAGTTTTCAGTCAGTCTTAACACACAGTTATGTGCACAATATAACAGCACTATATTATCTTCAGACTAATTAGTGTGCATAAACAAATTGGAAGCATATAGAAACATGCACTGGTTTTAAAATGTACAACAATCTGTAATTATCATTTTGATGATTCGCTATTCTATCCAATTTTTTTTTACTAGATTTTTCATAATGGTTAGATACAGAAGACAACTCATACTCTTTATGATATGGTTTATTGAAATTGAAATGTATCGCCAAAATGATAATGTATTCTATTAGATATGAAGCAAACAACAATAATGTCTGTAATGTTTAGATTTCATATAACATATTGAATTTTTTGAAAATACCAAAACATTATATATATATACACAATGCATAATTAACAATCATGTTGTTGCATTCTCAGTTGGAAAAATTTACATGTTTATGTTTATATAAGCAACCTCTAACATCATTTGTTCATGAACATGTAGGAATTTTTTGTTACCCTTTATGCCCTCTGTCGGTAAAACCTAAATCAATTGTAAATAAGTGAATTCTTTAAAAAATTTACATTACAATTAGTGATAAAGGTCTTAATTTGTAAATGAAGGCTGAAATTCTTCATTTTTTTGAGTGGATTGTGTTAAAATTGACCAAACTTTCCTTCAATAACAAAAAAACACACATTTCTAGGCACATACGATAATCTTGAAATTTTTTGCAAATTTACAAGTTGCGATAAACAAATGTGTTTAGTCTTAGATTATTGTTTATATTATAGGTTTAAATTAAAATTATTATTATTAAAGCCCATCTATTTGCTTATTTGTATTTTTTTCTACTTTAACAAAGATAAAGCATTCTTTAAGATTAATTATCTTCTAGGTATTTAAAGAAAATTAAATATATCCTATTTTTCAGCTTCAAAATTCCAAAGCTCTGCATTCTTTTACCAACATAGGCAGATCGGCAATGGATGATGGAGGCCGATGTCTGCTTGACGTTATAAAGTAAGTTATAATTTTAAATAAAATTTTAAAATTTTGATTCAACTACATGTGACTCTGACATATTTCTGTTTAATAGAGAGGTTGCGGCCGAAGTTTTCATCTTTAAAACGTGAACGTCGAATGTCAAGCGCCGCTATCTTGTAAGCGGCGCTTGACGTTCGACGTTCACGTTTTAAAGATGAAAACTTCGGCCGCAACCTCTCTAATATAAATGAAAAGAAAAGTAATAGAAGTTTATTTTTGAATTGTATGAACTCTGGTATCATCTCATAAACTATTATAAATAAAATTGTTTTTTTTTTGGGGGTCCAAATTTCTTATTAGCATAAGATAACATTTTCAACCTATTTAGGCTTTCTTTAGTGTATATTTACAAATGTTTGAAAGTGCAAATTAATGACAAGAAATAACTAATAATACTAAGTTGTTAAGGGTGTGTAATACTAGCGTTAAATTGCTTAAATTATTTTAATTTAAAAATAAATTGTGCCACTAGATTGATGAAGTTTGCAGAATCTGAGATCACAGTCCAATTCCTATCCAATTTAATGAATCTTTAGAATTAACCTCTGTAATGTATGTAGATAAAATGTATGCATATAATTGTGTGTATATATATAATATGCTCTAATCTGATGGAATAGAAATAGTAAAAATAATAATGTTGAGAATACTGTTTTGACCCAGTAGGCATTAGATTGTGAAATTTCTACTGTTTGTTGGATCAATCCCATTATCATCAAAAAATTAAAAGATTGCTTCTCCAGCAGACTATTAGAAAAGATGTCTATACAGGACAGTTCATTTTAATTAATCAGTTCACTGGAGTAACTCAAAAAAGTATGCATCCTACAAAAAAATCATTAAACCAAAAATGTTACAATTCAATAGAGCTATAAGATGGGGCTATTGGTTTCATCGTAAATGGTGAAAACAGGATCAACAGTTTTCATTCTCATAGATAGTTTTAATACTTTTAATTGCATATTATGGTTCCATATCAAAAACAAACATCTAGAACATTTTTTGAAAAATACACTTATCAGAAGTTACAAGTGTTTGAAGTCTTATGCAGCTGCCGGACCATGCATGCACGAATCTACGAATATCTGTGAAGTTCATTGAAAAAGAGAAAAAATTATTAGGAAACTATTATTATCTGCAGGAAATATTTTTCTTTTCCTTCAAATAATGAACAGATTTAAAACTAGTAGCATGTTAAAGCCATCAAGCTTGTGATAAAGAGGAGATGCTGATCTTTCGGATACCGCTAGTATATTTTGCATAAATGAATTAAATCAACAGAACTTTCTAATTTACATAATAATTCAGTTCAGTTTTAATGTTGATGAAACCGAATTAAAAAGACAAGAAACTTTAATTTAAACAATTATACATTCATACAAATCCATTGGAATAATAAAGGAAAGAATTAAGGCTAGAATACAAGTCCAAGTTTATTTTAGATTAAAATTTTTTGGGATCAAACCATCTTGTCTTCATTGTTCAAAAATGGAATGTTGGAGAAGCATTTGAAAAAAATTCCAGCAACAAGATGCTTAACTTTTCCGGCAACATTTGGTGGTGCCATCTATTATGTCATTTTATTAAAAATAACTTTTTATATTTTTATTTATTATAAAATGGCAAAAAGCTTAATTTTGAGAGTAGGGATAGGTTTTATAAAAAAATTGTAAATGCTAATAACAAGTAAAATCGTCATTGAGTCAGACCATACTCGAGATATGACATGAACCCTTTTATCTCCCCATCCTGTCAACCTTTAACCATTAAAATTTAATAGTATCAATCCCCATAATACACAAACCATTCTGCAAAATTTCAGAAAATTTTGACAAAAAGCATAGGAGTTATTAAGCTTCAAAGAGGATGAACAAAATTGTGCCCTCCCACACACTGACATCCATACATACAGAAAATATCCCCTGAATTTTTTTGAATATTTCGACATTTCAAGGTTCCAAGCAGTGGTGATATTCAGCGGGTTCGCACAGGTTCGGCCGAACCCGTTGTTAACATTTTCAAAGTTTTCCGAACCTTGTTAAACACATGTAACATTTCTCAATGGTTTTGATTCTTTTAAAAATATTAAAATATACGTATTATACTCTGTAACACTACTAAACTAGAGCCTTCCGATGCACCATTTAAGCGAAAAAAAATTGTTAAGGAAAAATTTTCTGTTAGCGAACCCTTTGTTAAATATTTCGAATGTCATCACTGGTTCCAAGTCCAAAACTGTAAAAATCTTGGGGGTCATTTTTTGACTGATTGCCATACTTTCCCTCTGTTATGTATAACAGCCAGGAAAGTAACATGGGAAGCATGTTACTTTTGTTACATTAATTCACTTACTTTATTTAATCATGTCTTGCTGAGTTTATATACTTTAGTTTACTATGTTTGATTTTACTATTTGTTCAAATTTTAAGCTGTGTAATCTTAGTATTCTACACATTCATAAGGTTAATACTTCTTTGATGGGATAGCTTGGCTTGGTCATGGAAAATGGTTAATCTTATATAAAACTGGACTCAATGTCTTCTAGCATCAATTTTTTTTACTTTTATTTAATTTAAACCTTTATTATGTTCTGCATATCAGCATATTTGCTATCTACAGGTAACCCCCCGTATAACACGGGAGTTACGTTCCAAAAAATTGCCGTGTTATACGAAACAAAGAACTAGTGCGAAAAGGGGGGGTTAGGTTCCAAAAATTAAAAAAACATGCTGTTAAATCCTTATTTAAATCGGATTTATTATTATTTTTTTTTTCATAGGTAAAATACTTATTTATTATTTAAGTAAATATTTTACTAGACCATTTTTTTATTCATCCTATATGATGACCTCAGCATGAGCATCAACTGGTAACAGTTTTAGGGTGCGTTTGTTAATAGCGGTTGCTCTGCAACGGGAGTGCGCTGCTGTTTGTAGGCATTTAGGAATGACGGTGAAAAAAAGATGGCGGCGCCCGCACTATTGATAGTATCGTGATAGAGGAATCTATAATTCTAAAATGAGCTCTTAGAGGCAAAAGAAGGGTCCCAATTGTAAAATTTAACCATTAAATGGATCATTTAATGGTTAAATGATCCATTTACAATTAGAAAACAACACGAAAACACGATTACAACTTACAATTACAATTACAACACAAAAACAATTAGAATGCTCGTGTGGAGTTACACGGAGGTATAAAAGAATGCACCCTTTATTACATTTCGTGTTGTACAAGGGTTTTACCCAATTTCTGAGCCATGTTAGAGTGAACCTGTGCTATAAAAGCACTGTGTTATACAGGGATGTTCCCAATTCTTGAACCGTGTTAGAGTGAATCTGTGCTATAGAAGTGCCGTGTTATACGGGGGTTACCTGTACTTTCATACTGGAGTCATAAAAAAAATGTTATATTGATTGACAGAAACCTCTTATGAATGAAGAGTTCTATTTTTGATATTTGTATTATGACTGTAAATGAAGTAATATTATGCTTCTTGTCCCACTATTATTAATTAATTATCTGAGCACTATAAATGGCTCTTGCTAGGACTTATTACGCACTATTGAGAAATCACTTAAGATCTAGACTGATGAACATTAATTATTTATTTGTACAGAGTAACCGTGGTATGCATTTCAGGCAGACAAGCTATCCCTGTTTAGCCGTTACAATTATAGATTACATGCTTGTAATTTAGTGATTGTAACTGCTGAACAGGGACATCTTGTCTGCCTGAAGTGATTTCTCAATAGTGTGTGATAAATCCTAGCAAGACTGTAAATGATTTAAAAAGTTTTCAGATGTAACTGTTTATAAATAATAAGTTTATTGGAGCCAAACAAGTAATAATGTTAATGCTATATTCCAGTATTATTATATTAGTCAGTGTTTGCATTTTTTAATGATTAGCTTTTAAACAGTTAAAGATATTTTAAAATAATACAACATAAAAATTAAATGAAATTTTTCTGTTGGATTATTAAGGTAATTGTATTTAGTAACTGTTTATTTTGAATAGTCTCTGAAACTGAACTATTTATTTGTAAGCATGTTTTATATATATTTGAAATTTTTTTATAATTTTATGTGGTAATCTTATTCTAACTATATCATTTGGTTTAATATTTGTAAATTCTCAATGAAACAAGGTTAATACACCCTAGTAGGAACTAGACCAGTCTGAAACATCTAGAGATACTCAAAATATACAAATCTAATTTTCAGAACATGGCCATAAATTATATAGATGCCAAAGCATTTTTAAAGCATGGAGATCTGTTTTTGGAGTACAACTATAAGTTAAATTTTATTACATAGAAAATATTTGGTTTCATCATTATTGACGTTGGCATTTTTCAAGCAATCAAATAATTGTTCCATGTATTTTTAAAGTAACATTTGAATTTTCATGTAGACGTTCAATGGTCTTTAACCTGAAGATGGCGATTTAAAAATCACACTGAAAATGCAGTTTATTATTTTTTAGTTTGTGCTGGATATTTCTGAATAGTGAAGTACTTTGAACTTAATTAAATCCAGTTTTCACATGTTACGTAGTTATCGATAACAACATTAACACTTACTTATTATTAACATTAGAATTTAAATATTTTACATAATTAGTATTGTTGATAGACGTGCCACTGTCTTTTGAAAGCTTTAAAGATTCGATTTTAATTAAATTTAGAAAAGTTTGGAAAAAACAATAATATAATTAAAGAATAAAAATACAAAATATTTGATTTTCTGAGAAAAATGAATAGATTAGAGGATGATTTTAATGTCTGATGTAATCTTTCAACACATTGCTGGTTATGCTATTTAAATACTTCAAATTGGATTTTTTCCAGACATATATTAATTATAGATTACTGTTTAGTTATGTTTCCAGAATTCTAAATTTAATTAAACTTATTTTAAATTATCATTAAACTTATTAACAGATGGCAGTTTGCCTATATCTTACAATGCCAAATTATATGAATCGTTAAATAACACAGGCAAAATTACGATCCATTATAAGCTTTAATGTTAAATATTAAATATGTATTATATCATTTTAAGAAATATTATAATTAACAATATATTACTTTAACTTACAAAGTAATGTATTGTTTTTAATAAAATTCAAATTAATATTTAAAGTTGGTAAAGTTAATTTCAGTATATAAGTTTTTTTTTTAATTTAAAATTAAAATTTTTGTAATTATTGTTATATTGTGATATAATAAAGAATTAAATAATAATTGAGTATTTTTTAAAATATGTTGAAAATATCTGTTATATTCTTGTTTATAGGACAAACAGAGCCAGTTCAAGGTATTTATTATAACAACAATCAAACACCATACATTCATAAGTGTCTACAACAAGGTTGCCGTCTCCATGCTGTCCATGTTTCCAGTTTATATGCTTGGATACATTTACATCTACGACAATACCTATCAAGTCAGGGGTGTAGTTGTAAATTAAAAAATCCCAGGGCACTAAATGGCACCCTGAGTTTGAATTGTCACTATCTATGGGGTTTTGTACGGACAAAATTCAACTTTGTGGTGCAATATCTGAAAAATGGTTTAAATGCACAAAAAACGACCTATATATTCATATTTAATAAATATAAAAATATAAATACGACTTTACAAAGATAAAACTTTGCATTTTGTCCTTCCTTTTCGCTGTTCACACCATCAGCAGTCCTTAAATAATTCACAAAACTTTGGAGACGACCTTTCTTTTGAGGCTACTGCCTCTGCAAAAGAATGTAAAACAGGTAGAGTCGTATTTATACTTTTTATATTTATTAAATGTGAATAACGTCGGCCATGTACTTGTATTAGTTTTTTATTTAAAATGTGATATTATGATTGTGGCATTAACACCAGAGGACGCTTTACCTGTTTTACATTCTTTTGCGGAGGCAGTAGCCTCAAAAGAAAGGTCGTCTCTGAAGTTTTGTGAATTATTTAAGGACTGCTGATGGTGTGAATGGTGAAAAGGAAGGACAAAATGCGAAATTTTATCTTTGTAAAGTCGTCTTTATATTTTTTATATTTATTAAATGTGAATAACGCCAGCCATGTACTTGTATTAGTTTTTTATTTAAAATTCTATATATTCATAATCTGTGCAAAAAGTAATTTTCTCAGAATTTTGGTTAAGGTGCTGTACATAGTCTAAAGTCCAACCTAGATGTTCACAAAGTACAAGAGCTTCACCCTGCTTTAAAAAAAAGTACCAGGGTATTGCCCTGGTACACCCTGGTATGACTACACTACTGAATCAAATATTTACTAAAACTACACTCTTCACACAATTCCAGCACAGAAAGTTTATCACAAACATTTTTGGCTTCTTTACAACAGATTATAACAGGACAAAAATGTTCGTGATGATAAATTTTCTGTGCTGGAAGTGTATGAAAGGTGTAGTTTTAGTAAGTTACTTATTCCAGCTTCTACTGTAGTATCCATCAAATATTTGATTTTACTNTGCTGATGGTGTGAATGGTGAAAAGGAAGGACAAAATGCGAAATTTTATCTTTGTAAAGTCGTCTTTATATTTTTTATATTTATTAAATGTGAATAACGCCAGCCATGTACTTGTATTAGTTTTTTATTTAAAATTCTATATATTCATAATCTGTGCAAAAAGTAATTTTCTCAGAATTTTGGTTAAGGTGCTGTACATAGTCTAAAGTCCAACCTAGATGTTCACAAAGTACAAGAGCTTCACCCTGCTTTAAAAAAAAGTACCAGGGTATTGCCCTGGTACACCCTGGTATGACTACACTACTGAATCAAATATTTACTAAAACTACACTCTTCACACAATTCCAGCACAGAAAGTTTATCACAAACATTTTTGGCTTCTTTACAACAGATTATAACAGGACAAAAATGTTCGTGATGATAAATTTTCTGTGCTGGAAGTGTATGAAAGGTGTAGTTTTAGTAAGTTACTTATTCCAGCTTCTACTGTAGTATCCATCAAATATTTGATTTTACTTTCAATATATTTAAAACAATAAAATGAAAATAACTTTGATATAATTGTAACTAATACAATAGGTCTACAAATATATATATATATTTTTTTTAATGTCAGTTTATAGAGTGATATGCTTATATATTTTAATTTAAAGAAATTATTCAGTAATTTTATTTATTCTTTTATAGTGATCCCAATCTTCTGAGGTCATTTCTTGAAAGTGGAAGTGACAAGGTAAAATTATATTTTATTTGTTTTAAATAATGTTTTTGAAAACTACAATTAATTATTTACTTTTTAAATGGTATTTTTATAATATCCATATACAGCTGACTCTTTTTAATTGAAATAAGAGGGAAAGTAAAAAGTTTGAATTATCAAAAATTCAAGTTATCTGTTTTTGAAAATGAAACCAGTTTTCTTCACATAAAACATTGCTTGTTCTTTGACAATATCACATTTTCTCTCTACTTTCTTATCTCGCCTTTTTAATCATTTTAACTCTTTAAAACTAAAAATAAAGTTACGTATGTCATATGATCAGACATTGTAAAAACATAGCTAAATAAAAATAAAGCTAAATAGCATTTATACAGAAACAGGTGACAATTTTGCCTATGGTTCAAGGATGTACAGAACATGCGAAATACAAGTTTTATATTTAAAATATGACATATATTGGCTTATTAAATTAGTTAAACTTATAGTCAAAGAATCTAAATTAAATCATAACTTTTTTAATGCATATTTGAATACTAGCATGATAAAATTATTCAATAACATGAAACAATCAGATTCAACTGTAATATGTAATTTTCTAAATACTTTACAAAATTAATCTGGTTACAAACTTTCAAAATAGTCTTTTTTTAAATTGCAGAAACCATTTAAAAATAATTACGTTTAATAGTAATAATTATATTAATGAAGAAATGATAAACTTCGGTATCTGACAGATAAATTATTTCAAAGTAATTGATAATGCAGTAGAGCGTCGTTTATCCGAATCAATTGGGGACTGGGGTGGTTCGGATAACTTATTTTTCAGATAACCAATTATGTACGAAAAAATATATTAACCGTGATATAATAAAGAATTAAATAATAATTGAGTATTTTTTAAAATATGTTGAAAATATCTGTTATATTCTTGTTTATAGGACAAACAGAGCCAGTTCAAGGTATTTATTATAACAACAATCAAACACCATACATTCATAAGTGTCTACAACAAGGTTGCCGTCTCCATGCTGTCCATGTTTCCAGTTTATATGCTTGGATACATTTACATCTACGACAATACCTATCAAGTCAGGGGTGTAGTTGTAAATTAAAAAATCCCAGGGCACTAAATGGCACCCTGAGTTTGAATTGTCACTATCTATGGGGTTTTGTACGGACAAAATTCAACTTTGTGGTGCAATATCTGAAAAATGGTTTAAATGCACAAAAAACGACCTATATATTCATATTTAATACATAAGCATCAACTGGTAACAGTTTTAGGGTGCGTTTGTTAATAGCGGTTGCTCTGCAACGGGAGTGCGCTGCTGTTTGTAGGCATTTAGGAATGACGGTGAAAAAAAGATGGCGGCGCCCGCACTATTGATAGTATCGTGATAGAGGAATCTATAATTCTAAAATGAGCTCTTAGAGGCAAAAGAAGGGTCCCAATTGTAAAATTTAACCATTAAATGGATCATTTAATGGTTAAATGATCCATTTACAATTAGAAAACAACACGAAAACACGATTACAACTTACAATTACAATTACAACACAAAAACAATTAGAATGCTCGTGTGGAGTTACACGGAGGTATAAAAGAATGCACCCTTTATTACATTTCGTGTTGTACAAGGGTTTTACCCAATTTCTGAGCCATGTTAGAGTGAACCTGTGCTATAAAAGCACTGTGTTATACAGGGATGTTCCCAATTCTTGAACCGTGTTAGAGTGAATCTGTGCTATAGAAGTGCCGTGTTATACAGGGGTTACCTGTACTTTCATACTGGAGTCATAAAAAAAATGTTATATTGATTGACAGAAACCTCTTATGAATGAAGAGTTCTATTTTTGATATTTGTATTATGACTGTAAATGAAGTAATATTATGCTTCTTGTCCCACTATTATTAATTAATTATCTGAGCACTATAAATGGCTCTTGCTAGGACTTATTACGCACTATTGAGAAATCACTTAAGATCTAGACTGATGAACATTAATTATTTATTTGTACAGAGTAACCGTGGTATGCATTTCAGGCAGACAAGCTATCCCTGTTTAGCCGTTACAATTATAGATTACATGCTTGTAATTTAGTGATTGTAACTGCTGAACAGGGACATCTTGTCTGCCTGAAGTGATTTCTCAATAGTGTGTGATAAATCCTAGCAAGACTGTAAATGATTTAAAAAGTTTTCAGATGTAACTGTTTATAAATAATAAGTTTATTGGAGCCAAACAAGTAATAATGTTAATGCTATATTCCAGTATTATTATATTAGTCAGTGTTTGCATTTTTTAATGATTAGCTTTTAAACAGTTAAAGATATTTTAAAATAATACAACATAAAAATTAAATGAAATTTTTCTGTTGGATTATTAAGGTAATTGTATTTAGTAACTGTTTATTTTGAATAGTCTCTGAAACTGAACTATTTATTTGTAAGCATGTTTTATATATATTTGAAATTTTTTTATAATTTTATGTGGTAATCTTATTCTAACTATATCATTTGGTTTAATATTTGTAAATTCTCAATGAAACAAGGTTAATACACCCTAGTAGGAACTAGACCAGTCTGAAACATCTAGAGATACTCAAAATATACAAATCTAATTTTCAGAACATGGCCATAAATTATATAGATGCCAAAGCATTTTTAAAGCATGGAGATCTGTTTTTGGAGTACAACTATAAGTTAAATTTTATTACATAGAAAATATTTGGTTTCATCATTATTGACGTTGGCATTTTTCAAGCAATCAAATAATTGTTCCATGTATTTTTAAAGTAACATTTGAATTTTCATGTAGACGTTCAATGGTCTTTAACCTGAAGATGGCGATTTAAAAATCACACTGAAAATGCAGTTTATTATTTTTTAGTTTGTGCTGGATATTTCTGAATAGTGAAGTACTTTGAACTTAATTAAATCCAGTTTTCACATGTTACGTAGTTATCGATAACAACATTAACACTTACTTATTATTAACATTAGAATTTAAATATTTTACATAATTAGTATTGTTGATAGACGTGCCACTGTCTTTTGAAAGCTTTAAAGATTCGATTTTAATTAAATTTAGAAAAGTTTGGAAAAAACAATAATATAATTAAAGAATAAAAATACAAAATATTTGATTTTCTGAGAAAAATGAATAGATTAGAGGATGATTTTAATGTCTGATGTAATCTTTCAACACATTGCTGGTTATGCTATTTAAATACTTCAAATTGGATTTTTTCCAGACATATATTAATTATAGATTACTGTTTAGTTATGTTTCCAGAATTCTAAATTTAATTAAACTTATTTTAAATTATCATTAAACTTATTAACAGATGGCAGTTTGCCTATATCTTACAATGCCAAATTATATGAATCGTTAAATAACACAGGCAAAATTACGATCCANAAAAGAAATTATACTTCAGAAGTTAACTAGTATCAAAAACGTTCGATTCAGCATGACACACGTTCTGGTTCCTTGTTGTTCATAGAGGAGTGTACTGCTATTTGCTTTTACTCTGAAGAGAAGAGAGACAGGAGATAGATTGCAAGGCAACGGAAGAGCTGGCCTTATAGAAGACAGCTGGAAGAGACACGAAGGGAGATAGAATGCCTTACGGGAGGACTTTTATGGGGAGCTGGCCCCTATTTAGGTATCACCTGCAAGGAGAAAACCCAGAAAACTCCAAGCTCCCAGCCTGTCCAATCGAGGCACGAACCCCCAACCAAACTCTCAGTGTTTAGTGTTTGGTCACCGCCGCTATGAGCGGAGACAGAGTCCACTCGGCCACCGACACACAGTCTTCAGAAAAACACCACACACAAAAGTGCTAGTGTTGCCAGCTAAAACACACACACCAACAAAAATATATTGGAGTAGCCGAAGACATAGCCAAAAGTTGCAGCACTAGCAGAAATTAAAATTTGCTGACTGGAATGCTTTCGGTTAACCAGCTTTTGGATAAACGACGCTCTACTGTATATAATAACATATATTATGAAATAACTTGTGTTTATTTTATCATTTAATCTCAATATGAGTATTCATAATAAAATGTAAATACAATAATATGTATTTTTATTCTTATTAAAAGTATTGTGCATATTAGCTACATAATAAATGATGTAAAAATTGTTGTTTTTATATATGCTTAAATTCAGTAAGGTATAAAAAGAGGCTTAAAAGTGATATACCATATAAATCTTTATTGTTTTTAATATGAAATGGCTGTGGCCATCTGTTTTATCCAAGTTTTGGTTATCTGAGGTAGCATTGGTCCATGTTACCTCAGATAATTGGGTTCTACTATAATAGAAAAATAGCACATTTAACTGTATTTACATATGAAAATATTCATAAAATAAAACTTTTTTGCAAATATTTTCATTGCTGTACCACATAAGTTTCTTATATTTTTCTTTTTTTTTCTAAGGTACTTGTATTAACAATGACTTTTATTTTATAATCATTTTATGATTTAAGTGTTTAAAAGAATAGCTTCTTTCTTTCTTATCCATCTAGTTGGCACTTTCCTAAATTAATTCTAGTTGAAACTTAATAGAAATTCAGATTAAAATCATGTAAATCATTGTTAAAATCAGTCTTTGTCTTCTTTTTTTTGTAAAATAAATAAAATACTTCAGAAAAAAAGAGGTTAATTAAACGTATACTGTTATAAGATATCTGTTTTGAATATACAGTAAAGCATCACTGATTCAGAATTCATGATAATTTAGCTACTATTTCACATTGCGTATTTTTTTTTAAATGATGAATCTGTTGATTCTAATTTGGGCTTTAACAGCTATTACTTTACTTTTAGACAGATGTGCCAAGATGTGATCAAGGAACAGTTACAAAAGGAATCACAAACAAAAATTAACTTCTTTTTTAATCCCAAATTAGGAATGTTGGCAATAACAAGAAATATGCTACTACTACTGTTGCATTGTAAAAATTTATCAAATCATTATATTTGTTTATTTAAAGTACACAATAAAATTTGACTTTAAAGAAAGTATAGTTTTCAGAATACAATATGCATTTGAGTCTAAAAACCTCAGTAATTTGAACTAGGCCTCAATTAATCCAAATTACTGAGGTTCTTTGTACTTAGAAAATATTTATTATTGTCATCATAAATATTTCACTTACTTTTCAGGTTCAAGAAATTCTTACAGGGCAAAGAAATGTCTGGCATTGTCAGACATTAAATAGTGTTCCAGAGCTGGATTTAAGTACACAAAATGTTCATCATAATGCCTTATCCAACACATTGGTAAGTTATTGTTTTAAAATTTTAGAATGTATTAAAGTGCTTTGTTTAATTAATTAATATTTATATAGGACCAACAGGATGGTTCGTGTTCTGATACTAGCTTTGAAAATTCACAAATTAGACAAGATCAAGTAACAAATGTTAATCATTTTAACTCAACCATCCTTGTACCAGAACCGTCCTCTGAACAGTTGGGATTCACATGTCAAGTAGACAATGCAGGTCTCCTGTCACAAACGTCTAATATTGGTGTTTCAACTGTATGTTCATCACCTGTTACTTTTTCATCCTATCATACACCTTCTCCAGTTGGAACAACTATACATCATGTTCCATCCCCAGCTCATCCTCAACCTTCTCCAGCAACTCCACGTTCTGCTACACCATTGCCTCATGCTATTCGTTCTCCAAGTCAAGGTTCACCTTCAGTTCAGTCAATACATAGTATGCCTCCTCCATCACCTCTTCAACAAACTCGATCTCCTTTACCATCTCATACCCCATCACCAGCTCCTGCTTGGTCCCCTATTCCTATTGTACAGTCACCAGCTATGGGAAGAACACAAACTGTGGCTCATAATCAATTACTTCAAACTTCTGGTAATGTAACACAAGTGGTTCAAACAGTATCTCAACAGATAGCTCAGAAATTACAACTACAACAGCAAGTTATTTTTCAACATCAGTCACAACAGCCAAGGCTTCCTACTGTTGCAGCTCCTTCGGTAATTCCATCAACAACCAATGTTCCCATGGCAGCCCCTCCTGTTGTGCAGATTATTCCAGCTCCTCAACAGAGTACATCAACGTCAACGCGTAATCCTCAAACTTCTGTGCGTCCAATACAGCCAAAACAGCCACAGCAAATTTTACCTAAACCTGTTGGAACTGCATCAAATCAGTTTGCAACACCAGTTGTGAAACAAGTTGGTTCACCTGGTGTAGCATCTAATCAAAGGACTGTTGGGATGGGAATAAATACAGGACAAGTAGTGATTGGCCAAGGTCAACCTGGTGTTTTTACAGGACCACAAGGAACGATTGTACTTAATCAAATAATTCCAGCTGTTGGACAGAGTCCTATTTTAATTCAAGGAAATTTAGGAAATTTACCAGGAGTACAATTTACTCTGCGACCCCAACAATCTTCTCTCACAGCCAGTGCCTCGTCAGGACAAACGCAGAGTGGTGCTCAGAATAATGCAGCTCTCATTGCTGCATTGCAAGCTCAGAGTCAAACAACTCAAACCCTTTTTACACAAGCTAAAGCATCTCTTCCAGGTCAGCAGACTATTGTTATTCCTAGTAGTATCACACATCCAAGTTTAACTGCCCAGAATCTGAATTTAGCTGCTACTGCAAATCCATCTGTTAATAATACTGTTGTACCTACAGCATCACAAGGACAAGGATTACTAACAAGACCTAATATTATATTAGCACCAAGATTAATGGGCCCAAATCAAGGTATTCAGTTTCAACAAATACAAACACCACAAGGTCCTATTACTGTTGCTTTAGCACCCAGTCAGTCTATTACATTACCACAGTTACCAACAGCCTTACAAAATACTGCCTTAGGTGCACATCTAAATGCTGGCACAATTCCTGCTTCTGGTGTGATGACTGCTGGACAAAGTGTGATTTCAAGTATTTCTCTCCAAGCACAACCAACTGCAGGAACAATTTCAACTCAGCAACAATTAATACCAGGTACAAATGTTACATTTCAAAACCAAACAGAACAGCCATCTGTTCAGATAGCTACAGTATCTAATAATACAATAACTTCCACTCCAACAACTTCCCAAACTACTACGTCGTCTGAAATTTCTTCCACATCTACATCAAAACCTATTAAAGTTCCTAGTGTTAATTTGGCAGAACTGTTAAAACAACATGGTATTGTGCCTGAGACTACACCTCCATCTTCTCCAACGCAGTCTCCCCATCAAGATATACTGCAGTCATCACCTTCAGAAGATACTAATGTTATAAATGCTGGTGATATTTCTAAAGGTTCTACACTTATTGACACACTACAGTCATCTCCACAAATTATAACTGTTACACAGGTAAATATATTAATAATTTTTAATATAAAGCTTTATAATAATTAAATTTAAAAGATTTTTTCAAATTATTAAATGAGATAATTGTTGAATATATTGATAAAGAGCAATAGTTAAGTCATGAGCTAAACACAATTTTAATTTGTTAGAAGTGTTTATCATCATATATTATGTTTTATTAATATTAATGAACATCATAACATATATAGGTTGTTCTTGGTTAATGCATTTTCAGTTAACAGATTTTTAACATGTTTTATTAATACTGAATAGTTTTTGTATTACATGCCATTTTTTGGTAAAACATGGTACCAGGTCAGGTCACAGGTAAGCATTGCATGGAGGATAGGCTAATTCTATTCATATTATAGTTTTTCACCATGTTTTAATCAGCCTTGAATTGATTGCTGTAGCATTTATTTGAAGTCTCTTTAATCTTTTGGAATAATTATTTTTAACTGACTTAACTCTTCCTTAAAATCATTGAGTGCAAATATATAATGATGATAATTATTTAGCACACATTATGAGAATTTTTAAGTGTTTCTATGATCATATTTGCATGATGAAAGGTGCATGATTCATTATCCTGTGACTTGAACAAATAAAAAGAGTTAAAAAATCTCAAATACAGCAGAATCTGCATATTGTAATATGCAGATTCTGCTGTATTTGAGATTTTTTAGTATTTAACTTCTTTTTATTTCCAAAGTGATTACACTAGTCTGTACTGATAACAATAACTGACCAATAATATTAAGTGGAATGAGTAAATATGACTACAGTTTATGGAAATTCTGGTTTTATTGATTCTTACGTTAAAAGTATATGTTAATATAATTAAAAAGTATATATTTGAATATTTATTACTTATAATTATTACTATTATTAATATGTAATTCATTCAGTATAGTTTTTCTGCTACCATTTTTAACAGCAGTTAGCATATAATTGAAATAAGAAATTCTAGAAATTTAAACTATTGTACTGCAAACAAATGATGATTAAAATGGTTAGTTTAACATTCAAAGCACTGGATAAGACTGATAATGATAACTAATAACAACTTGCTGTCATCAATCACATGTTGAAGCTAATAGACAACTCAAAAAATGCCTATTTATCTGACAATAACGGTAACTATAATTGAAAGTCTGACTATAGTAAACAAAGTTTTATATGTATCGGTACATTTTAGCATGTATTTGGGTACATGCTAATTTTAATAACATTAAGTTATTGGTACCAATATGATTATAATAAGTGAATTCTATTGTATATGGATCTAGACTCAGGAATGTTTTCATTATTTTTTATATTTTTATAGGATATAGGTTTTATATTAATGTGTTTTTTGTTTAATGCAATACTTTCAAGTGACACATTGATGACATTAATCAAGGAATTATTTTTAGAAGAGAGAGCAAGTGACAATTAATTATAAATGGCTACTCTGAATAAATTGATGCATTTGTAATTTAATTGAAAATCTTCAGTTTAGTTCACATGTTATATTTTTTAAAATATATGTTGATAAAAAGAAATTAATAAAGAAATATTTATCAACGAAACACTCTCAAAAGCTGGAACAATTGATTAAAAACACTGCACTTACTCCAGCAAATAAAATTTAATGGAAGCACTGTTTTCGGCCACTTTAAGGGGCCTTCCTCACGTAAGAGAGCTATTTTTACATCAAACAAGTTACAAAAACATTTAGAGACGTAACATTCCATATGTGCAGTGACACAGTTTACAAATTACTCAATATGTGATCAGATTCTGTTTCCAAAAATTTTCAATATATATCACATTCAAATCATTCTGACAATTAGACATAATCTGTACTTCATTGGGTTCTTATACGACTGTTGATATTTACAAGAATTTCAATTTATTATTTTAATTTATTTGTCTATCGTTGTATTGTAATCAGTTATAATTTAAAATTTTTTGAAACCTCATCTGGTCACATAACAAAGACTTTGCAACCTGCGCTAATAGTTGAATACTTATTTTAGTGTTGTTAATATTTTTTGTTTTTCATTTATTATTTATATTTTATTTTTTATAATACTTTGTTCTATATATCTAATTTTGTATTTGAGTCATTTAAAATTTTTGGAAACAGTGTCTGATCACATATCAAATAATTTGTAAACTGGCCTCATTACAGTTTACAAATTAATCATCTGATGAAGGCCTCTTAAAGTGGTTGAAAAGTTTGTGCTTCCATTAAATTTTATATGCTGGAGTAAGCATGAGTGGTGTGCAGTGGGTTTTTTCCTCCCCTAAATATTTAACATATTTTTAAAATGTAATAAATGCGCCAATCAAAACATTAATAATTCCAGTAAATAACACAAAATTAATCCAATTTCCATTAAAAAATGTGTAAGATTTGATGTAGTATTTAGTAAGCATATTCAATACCAGATGTTGGTATTGCTTGGTTTTAAGTAAAAGCATTGCCAAGCATATGAAATGCTTTTTTCGTATTTAAAGTTAATGCACCTGACCATCAGATCCTCTATAGATTTCTAAAGCTTTCAGAGCCCTGATTGTTATTTTGTTAAAACATTAGATTTTATTACAGTCAACCCCCCTATAAGATCATAGATACATTCCATTTTTTAGGAATCCAATTTCTTACGAGTCGTTCCAATCACAGCCCGACACGTGCCAAGTTTACGGACTATGGCTGATTGAAAGGTTTTCTTCCATAAAATTAATTGATTCTAGACTAATAGCTCAGGAACAGCTCAGCAAATAGCGGCTGATTTCTAACAATTTATTTTTCTGTGAAAACTTCATAGAACTTTGGAGACATCATTAATATAAATAATTTTAATCGCCGTTGAATAAGAAATGTTTCTTTCACAAGAAATGTATAAAATTACAGTACTGTATTAGACTTACGGTACCTAATTTACATACTGACAGACGATAGTTAGCGTAAAAATCTCCGTAGCGTGGCGCCACGCTAGACGGCGGAAATTATATATTTAATTATAACAAAGTTACAATAAGTTAATATATAATTATATATACAGTACCTAATTTATATATAATTAATATATAATTATATGTACAGTACCTAATTTATATATAATTTATATAATACTGTCCAGACGATAGAAATCTCTCCGTAGCGTGGCGCTACGG